TTCCCATTTTGGGGTCCCCTGACTCTCCCTGACCCTCCCCATTTTTGGGGTGACCCCTGACCCCTCATTTTTTGGGGTTTCCCCCCCAAAACAGTCGAGGTTTGACGACCTGGCCTTGGAAACAGGGGACACGGGGGGGCTTCGACCACGTTCCCCGTGACCCTTTTTGGGGTCCCCACCCCCATAACTCCCTGATTTTTGGGGGTTCCTGACCCCCTGACCCCTCATTTTTGGGGTTCTTGATCTCTTGACCCCTCATTTTTTGGGGTTCCCCCCCCCAGACAGTCGAGGGCCTTGGAAACAGGGGACACGGGGGGGCCTCGGCCACATTCCCGTGACCCTTTTTGGGGTCCTGCACCCCCTGACTCCTCATTTTTGGGGTCTCTCTGACTCCCCCCATTTTTGGGGTCCCTTCTACTCTCTCTGACCCCCTATTTTTTGGGGTTCCTCACCCCCTGACCCCTCATTTTTTGGGGTTTCCCCCCCAGACAGTCGAGGTTTGACAACCTGGACTTCGAGACGTGGGACACGGGGGGGCCTCGGCCACGTTCCCCGTGACCCTTTTTGGGGTCCCCATCCCCATAACTCCCTGATTTTGGGGTTCCTCACCCCCTGACCCCTCAATTTTTGGGGTTCCTGACCCCTCATTTTTTGGGGTTTCCCCCCCCCAGACAGTCGAGGGCCTTGGAAACAGGGGACACAGGGGGGCCTCAACCACGTTCCCCGTGACCCCTTTTTGGGGTCCTGCACCCCCTGACCCCTCATTTTTGGGGTCTTCTGACTCCCCTCATTCTTGGGGTCCCTTCTACCCTCCCTGACCCCCTATTTTTTGGGGTTCCTGACCCCCTGATCCTCCTCTTTTGGGTTTTTTCCCCCCCAGAGAGGCGATGGCTGACGACCTGGATTTGGAGCCGGGGGACACGGGGGGGCCTCGGCCACGTTCCCCATGACCCTTTTTGGGGTCCTGCACCCCCTGACCCCTCATTTTTGGGGTTCCTCACCCCCTGACCCCCCTTTTTTTTTGGGTTTCCCCCCCAGAGAGGCGATGGCCGACGACCTGGACTTCGAGACGGGGGACGTGGGGGCCTTGGCCACGTTTCCCGTGACCCTTTTTGGGGTCCCCACTCCCATAACTCCCAGATTTTGGGGTTCCTCACCCCCTGACCCCCCTTTTTTTTTGGGTTTCCCCCCCAGAGAGGCGATGGCCGACGACCTGGACTTCGAGACGGGGGACGCGGGGGCCTCGGCCACGTTCCCCATGCAGTGCTCGGCCCTGCGCAAGAACGGCTTCGTCGTCCTCAAGGGCCGCCCCTGCAAGATCGTGGAGATGAGCACCTCCAAAACGGGCAAACACGGCCATGCCAAGGTACCCAGGGACCCCAAAATATCCCAAATGTGTCCCAAAATATCCCAAATGTGTCCCAAAATATCCCCTGAGCAGCCACGGCCCCAGAGAAGCAACCACGGCCCTACAGAGACACACCCAGAGCCCATCCCGGAGCCTTCCCTGGGCTCTGAGCCCACCCCAGACACCCCCTCACACAGCCCTGATATCCCCAAAAACAGCCCCAAAACGGGCAAACACGGCCATGCCAAGGTACCCAGGGACCCCAAAATATCCCAAATGTGCCCCAAAATATCCCCTGAGAAACCACGGCCCCAGAGAGACAACCACGGCCCTACAGAGACACCCAGAGCCCCTCACACAGCCCTGAGCCCACCCCAGACAGCCCCAAAACGGGCAAACACGGCC